AATGGCCACGGAGAGCTTTAGTGAAGTATACTTCATTTTAGATCATTAAAGTCACTAATTTCGTGGTCCGCTTGACCAATTAATATATTACAATTAATTGAGGTTTTTAGTTGAGATAAAAAAAGTCAATGGTACGAGCGGGATACGAATATACCGCTCGGGAGGGAAAATTCAAAAGGTGAGGTTGAGATGGGAAGTTGGTGTCCGAGTGGATCAAGTGGTAGAGCAGCGGCGTATTGAGCGTCGTGGGTTCGAATCCCGCTCGTCACAATGACTTTTTATCCCAACTAACAACCTTAATTACTCCCTAAAAAAATTGAGGAACTGAACACCATTTAAATTATTTTCGTAGAAATAAGGCCCAATTAATTTATTTCCGAGAAGACCACACAAAACTTTCATACTGTGAACCACCTGATGATGACAAGATGAAATTCTCGGATTTTCCTCTTGGAGAAAAGTTGGATTCACCAGTTCATAGGATGTTTGGAAGGAAGAGCGTTTTCTTCAGCCTCCCAATCGACATTTCTCCACTCATAATCACTGTCATCATCAGAATCCCGAAGTCCCTGGACAAGATGAGAGCGATCGGTTTAAAATTCCGGAGTACATCTCTAATTTTATTTTTTGAAAAACCTAAAACCCTCCCAACATTTAGGAGAGAGGAATTAGGATTTTGGTGAGAAATCCCGTATCTCCTCATATTGCGAGCAGCACGAATTTTGTGGTTTACTCTCGGGCGATCAGGAAATTTCTGGGAGTACCAGAAATATCACCACTGTAAATAAAGCAGTCACACATATCAACTCGCTATTGACCAAAAAAATGTTTTCTTCGGTTCATTCTGAATATTCAATGTAACAAATAGGTACTAATATAAAATTTATTTACTTCCAGAAAAAATACGTAAAAATACGCTCTCGTAATACGAATTTGATAAAAAAATTACAGAATATAAACAATAAAGGCATTAATGTTTACTTTAGAGAAGAAGCAAATGATTGGATTTAACAACAAAACAAACGGAATGCGTTTTTTCAAACTTTTCCCCATAACATTTTCATTTTTTGACCAATTTCAAATCCGATTGCTCCATTGTTTTTAGCGTAAAAAAATCCTTTAAAATCGTGTCAGGATGTATAGGATCGTATTTGAAATTTTAAAGTTGAACTGGGCTTACGGTTTTTCCCCAAAAAAGTAAACATACGCAACTAGACTAAACATTTTTAAATTTATTATATTTTATTAGTATTTTTTTGATAGCTTTATTGGCTCAAAAGAAATTAAGCCAGGCCATCAAAAAGATACCCTTTAGAATAGTCATATATGTAATAGTAGCTGAATAATTACATTACATTATTTTAATAAATTTGCTCATGCAAGATTAAGATTCAATTATTTCGAAGAAGAGTTGATTTAAAAGTAGTTTTGGTCAGGGCCGAAAACCAATTTGACACGGGCCAAGGGGTTGGTTACCTCGAGGTGTGAAATTGGAGAAAACCCCCTTGTCCTAATAGGACCGGGCGTGTATTAGGTGCGAATCTTGGTTCAGATGGAAACGGGCGAGACGGCCGAACGCCGCTAAATGTGCAACTCAGCGAGACGGTGCGGATCAATACGGAAGGTCCGCCCCCCAGCCCGCACCGCTCCGACCCGCCCTCACCTGTTGGCCCCTGTCGAAACGGGGGTAAACAAGACGTAAACCGACACGTGCTTAACGGCTTTTTACGGGGAAAAGCCTAATTTATTTCTCGCGGTTTCCCGGACGTAAACACCCTCCGACGGTGCTGGATTTGCTCTTTCTCAGCTCGTTAACATGTACAATAAGAGTGACATTTTGACTTATTTTTAAGGGTCAGGAACCACCAAGGGTCATTTTTGCCACGAAACATTGGCTCACGACTCCAATCCGACGCCAGTTTTTTATTTTATTCATTTATTTATTTAATTCTTCTTGGCAGTATAGTAGAAATATTTTCTTGGTTGTTCCCTAATATTTCATTTTTGGAGAGGCTAAAATTTTCTAAAGCCATGTTATATGCGACATGATAGTAAAATATGATTTGTTGGTATTATTTCATCGCATGCTCTGCATACAGGCAGAGGGTCACGGGCCATTAAGTGACCCTTGGTAGTCCGGCAGTGTCCTATTCTCAATCTCCTCCCTTCTTTTCAATCTAAACATGAAGGCCATGCCTGCATGGTAGCCATGATTTCATGAAGCTTATAGTTCGTAACCGAATGCCGGGTTTTTCGCCATTGTCAATATATTTTCTCCCTAATGGCCAAAATGAGGTCACCTTGTAGTGGAAACCATTCCATCTCTAACTGCCTACTTGGCAGCCATATCTGCTCTCTCATTGCCAGGGATAACCGAATGATAATCCAGGGAAAAATACTCTTTTCCCTTGCTGCTCAAGACGTCTGAATGAGTACAAAAGATCATGTACGATAGGGTTATTGCTGAAAGTAACAGTATGTTTGAAGGACAGCCATGGAGTCAGAGCAAATAACCCTGGATGGATAATCTTAAAGGATTTATTTATGGCTATCATAGTTGCTTGCTAAGGGATTTTGTGAAAACGAATACTTCCTGTTTCCACAGATAGTTGCAGCACCAACGCCCATGACGTCCCTGGAACTATCCGTATATACACATGCCGCTGAGGGCAGTACGTTTTTGATTTTTTGAAACTTCTGTTTGTATATGTATTCAGGACAAGTGGCTTTATTATATTTCGCCAGTGATAGTGCAATTAGGGTCGGGAAAAAGCCAGTGGGGAATAATCGATTTGTTTTTGAATTGAGGGCACTGAAAACTGCATAACCTGTGTGGGCAAATACAATAAGGCAAAGAAAGGTATAGATTTGGTGTCCTGATAATTGGATAAGAATTAGCGTCAAAAAAGAGATTATTTAAAGGGTGTGTAGGATTAGCTATAATCCTAGCATAGAATTTCAGGTCCACAAATTACATCGAAGGTTTTAGAGGGAGCTGACAAGCATCGACAGCCAGTAAATTACCAAAAACTCAGCAACCTTATCGCCTATCGAAAATCGACTTACGCCCAGATCAATTATTTTGAAAAAAAAAAACCTTATACGAGTACAAACAGAAAAATCAGTTTATCTGAACCTACAGGTCCAGGTTGAACATAGGCAGACTATAAATGTTCATGAACGTCCAAATTACAGGTTCATTACCCGCAGACAGTACAGATAAATTTTCACAAGAATCCTAAAACACACAGCACACTACAGATTTTTTACTCGACCGAGTGCGCACACCCATGTGATTCTTCTTTGTCTCTTTGACTTGAAATGATTCTAGCCTGCTTGTATCAATGGGATGTGTATCAGTTTTATTCTTTTGATACCAAGATAGAAGAATAAAGGTTCTTCTCGTTCATTTCAGAAATTGTTCAATTCTTTACAGACTCTGAAGCCAGAGAATTAGTTTACAGGCTTAACTGATCTCTTAATGGTACTGAATGCTGATGACCTGGCTATCTTTGCAGGTCTCAAGGTTGAAAAAACATTCGGTGTTCAGGGCCGATAGGATATTGACAATGAGAGATGGTGCTTCGTATTTAATTGTTTTTTAGCCCTTGAACATTTTTTTAAGACAAAACACCTTTTGAACTCGGTTCAACGCCTTCAAATTGCACTTGACTCTTAAACCCTTCACCCGTATAGGACATAGGTAATCATTGGAAGAAAAGCTCCGTCGTAGATGATTCTGAAAACTTCATATTTTGTAGCCCTTGAACATTTTTATGGCAAAACACCTTTGAACTCGTTTTAAAGCCTTCAAATTGCTCTTGGCTCTCAAAGCCATCACCCGTATAGGACATAGGTACATTGGAAGAAAAGCTCCGTCGTACATGATTCTCAGAACATCATGTTTCCCCAATTCGCTCTAGCTCAGTTGAACAGACCATTTACCATTTTTATTAAAGATTTTATAACTTGTCTATTATGAGATCACCAATTTTGCGGTCAATAGAAACACCCAAATGGTCCATTACCGACACACATTCCTGTCGATCTTTTCTAAAGAAAATGTTCTCTTCTATCCCTTTTTCTGTAAATATTAAGCGCTTTTGATTTTTCTGGATTGAAATTTCTCTTCCTTTTTAATGGCTCACTGAAGTACGCTTTGTTGGTTACCTGCGGATCAATCCGATGTCAGCAGTCTTCCCCAAACGCTTCACAATTTACACGACATATTGACACTGACCTGCCGCCTTTATAGATTTTGCGGGAGTGCTTAGGCTAACTTCTGCTGTTCTTTTTCTAAATTTTGGATCAAACGGAACCTCGTTCGTAAAAAATCGATTTTCTGGGCAAATAAAAAACATTCATTCATTATTCTTTTGATAGGGAATTTCTACATTAAAAGTAAAAATGCAATGATCTGGTTCTAGAAGTGTTTAATTCTTCTGATATTCAATTGGACATGTGTAAGCAAAAAATAATTAAAATTTATTCCCCTGACCTTTGTTGAATTATTTTATCCTGAAAGTGACAAATAAGCCTAAGGGAAAGGGAATCGTCGTTATTTCTCATCGGATCGGCAATGGGAGGACACAGTGGCAAGGGGAAAGTCATTGTTGGCACTGCCGGTCCATAACAATTTAACAGGTGCCCGGACTGGGCGCAAGGCCCAAACGACCCGGGCGCTTTGCCCAACACCTTCAACTCTATTACATTTGTAGATTAAATTGAAAAATAAAGAAAAAAAGAGATTCAACTCGGAGGTTTATAGAGACACGACGACCTCCATGATTGTGGAGTCCGACACTCGGTTTCATCAACATGAGTTCATGCATTAGCATGAGGCAAACGGTTGGGGATGCTGGGGATGACGCCCCCTTTTTCTTTATTTAATATTTATGAAAAAAGCAATCGATCACCCTTCATTCACTTAGGTTCTTATGAATTATGCACATCGACGGGCCATTTTCATTAGATGTATTGCTGTCATGGAAATGTTTCAGGATGATTTTGGCGTCGGAGGAGGAGAAGAAGGCTGTGAGGAGGGAGATAGACCGTCTTGTCAAACGGATCAAGCCGAAGCCGGTGAAGAAGAAGGTCAAGAAGATCACGGAGATCGATAAGATGCTGCATCGCTCGGTGACGACGGGGACGAACAAGTACTTCTCTACGGGGCACGGCGCCAAGGAACGGCTGTTCCTAGAAGAAGGATCCCCCTATTCCCAAGATTATAAAGGATTTACGACAAAGGCGGAAAAGAAGTACATGGAGCCGACTGAGAACTGGCGGTCCAGGGTCGGGATATGCGAGAGGCTGCGAGTGGAGTCTCCGACGGTCGACAAAGGCGTGACCGGCGTCATCCCCGACTTTTACGAGATGACGTTCAGCAGGCCGATCCGCGAACGGTTCAGAAAAAGAGAATACGTCCAGCAGGTCCGCTCGGCTATGCTCACCAACCTGCAGACCGGCATGTACTTGGATATAATCAAGAGGATCGAGATGCACGACGACATCGCCAGGTCGATCCTTCAAAAGGCGGTCGATGATTCCGAGGAAGCGGTTTGGTCGTTGCGGGTTTTTCTATCCGAGCAGATCAAGGACATCAGGTCGATCGAAGACGAGCTCAAGATCGTCGTCGACCTGAGGACGAAAAAAGAGGCCGCGATCGACCTCGCGCTGAGGATACTCGGCAACACCAAGGTGGAAATGTTCGAGACGATGGAAAAGATCAACGAGACGATACGCTGCAGGGACTTCCTCCACAGCTGCAGCTCCGAACAGTGGCTTTACGAGTACGACATCAAAAAGCAGAACCACTTCCTCAAACAGATGGCCCAAGTGGAAGAGCTCATGAAGGTTTATGCCAATTACATGAACCACCTGGGTGGCAAAGACCCCGGCTTAGAAGAGATCATGCTCAACTACATCAAAATCTACGAAGAAACCGGGCCCAAGAAAATCGAGTTTAAAACCACAAACGATCTAGGGTATTCCCTCAAAAAACTAGAAAAGGATTGTAAAAACGCTTTGATTCATATAAAAGAAATAGAAGAGCCTGTCAAAAAAGTAAGAAAGTATGACAAAGATGTTGAGAAATGCTACAAAGGGGACATCGACTATCTAAAGACGGAAATCAAGAAAACTGAAGAAGATTTGGCGGATTTGAGAGCAAATATAGACATGAAGAAGTCCATGATGCACGACATGACAAAAAAATACAAAAGGAACTTGATCTCTAAGGAAGTCCTGTACGAGAGAGGGCTGTTGAAAGCTCTCTACGATGAAATAGTCGTCGATAAGAAGATGAACCCGACGGTTTTAGACATGTGGGAAGGATTGGAAGAGTCTTTCATGGCTCTCAAGTCGAAACTGGCCGAGATACCAGCGAAGGAGGTGAAAAGGAGGAAAAGGATCATAATCAGCAGGATCAAAGCAGGAGAATTCGCGGCGGTCAAGGCCCAGAACAGGATCAGGCAGGTCGAACAGATGGTCGAGGGTATAAAAAGGGCTTACGAGAAACCGGGGCAAGTACAGATCGGAAAAGCGTTGATGCCCAGATCCGAACCTCCGCCTCCACCGCCGAGGAGGCCGACGCCCGAATCGCCGGCCAGGACCATAGAATACGCCAAAGAACTGGAAAAGGAGCGGAGGAGGTACGCGCCGATGGCCAAGGGCTACCCGCCGGTCAGAAAGCTGAGGTCCCTGGCGTCCAGTGAACTCTCGCTAGTCAGTGAAAAAGGAAAACAAATGTATGAAGTGTACGATCGGGAGAGCTTGGTTCCAAAGCACAAAGTCCATCCACTAAAGGACGTCTATGTGTTTGATTCAGACGACGAATTGGATTTCAAAGGACGGCTCGCTATCGAAGAGCCCTCCGGTCCCACCGAGCTCAAAATGCTCCCTCCTCCAAAACTCACCATGCCCAAATACGAGCCTAAAGTCGAAGAAGTAAAGAAAACCACGGAAGATGAAGACAGTGACTTTGGCATGCCATAAAAAAAACCTTTGGTTTCTTATAGAAAAAAATTAAGTAGAACAATTTGTATCCAATTTTAATAAAACTATGTATTATATTATGCAGTGTGTCGAACTTACCTTGAAATGAAAATAAACCACACCAAATCTAAGGTGGTAGTTTTAGAAAATGTGGCAGACCGAGCTGATTGTTGTTCTTACAACTGATCAACTGTTAAAATTGTCAAAAAAGTACAAATATCATGGAGTTACAGTTACACCCAGGGCTTTGTCAGATATTAGGAATAATGGAAAAATTATCCTTGTCTGAGTACCAGGCAAACAGATTGACAAAGAAGATCGACCAAGGAAAGTTTGATGAGGGCACATCAAACTGCAAAAAAATAGGTTTAAGAATGAGTCCTTGATTCAATGTGATTGTTTTGAGCAAAATTTCATCAAAGGACCATTACAGGAACTAGTAGCAAAACTACTAAACCTAGGACATGTTAGGATTAGATTGATAATTAGACTGCGAAGGCCTTTTGCAATAAAAGAACTGAAAGATATAAGTCTAGAGCCTGGATATATTTGCAATTGCATATTATTTTTGTTAACACGACCATGGTGATGCTGAACAGATATTTACCCAAATCATACTTCTGTGGTATGATATATATTATGCAGGGTGGGCGACCAAGACCCAAGGGGGTAGACTGGTGTACCCCATCCCTAAAAGACTCACGTGTCCTGCATAAACCTCTTGGACCTCTTCACAAACCCCAAGATTTTGGACCATTTTATCTCGGGGAGTGATTTGGTGATGTCCTCTCCTTCAAAAATTTCAAATCTAGACTAGCATACCTATCTCACTCTGTGAGGTAGTGCCTTGCTGTTTCTTCTTTTATTTCACAAAAACGGCAAAAGGGGTCTGTGGTATAATAGTTCAAATTTTATTCTGCATATTTGAATAATTTTTTAAAATTATTTTATTTGAACCCTGAAAATTTTTTTTTTAACATCACAGCACTAACTCTAATGCCAGCACTGCTACTGGAATTCACTTGCCATGAGAAACCAGCCAATACTGGCACTCAGTGCGGGATTAAGGGGCATGGAAGTCTCAAGGCTTTCATCAATTAAGGCGATGAGGTGGGTTCTCAAGATGGGGGTGCATAAAGAGGGCTCAAGCAGTAGGTTTAGAATGAATCGAGAGGTTGGTTTTTGAATTAGGAACGGATCAGTATGTTTACAAAAGGAAGGTTGAGATCATTGTCTACTACGGATATCGGTTGATGCCATGATCCCTAAATCCAATTTTGATCAAAAAATTCTACCAGTGGTTCTACTGAACCATCTACTCAGCCAGGTGACACGTAAGTCAATTACCGCACCGGTGGTGAAGCCCAGTCATTTGGGACATCATCAGGGCCTTTTCACGCATTGGGTAAAATAACAAAATTAACCTTGTCAACCAGGGCACCAGGGCAGAGGGGCAATGAAGAGGCCAATAAATTGGTCAAGGAAAGTTCAATGAGGACAATTGGCCGTGAACCATTTTGTGGAATATCAAACAGCCTAAAACCAAATTAAAAGTAAGTCCTCCATTCAATGGAAATGTAACCCAGGCCAGAGGCATGTAAAAAAGTTTATCAAAGGACCATAGCAGAAACTAACAGTAGAACCACTGAAGCTAGGACATGCTAGAACTAGAATAATAGTTGGACTGCTGACTGGACACTGCAGATTCCAGAGGCATATGTACAGGCTCGGAGTAGCAGTAACATACCTGTGTAGATATTGCCACGAAGAAGAAACAGACCAGCTCCTATATAATCTAATCTAAGTTAGTGAGGTTAATGATGTAGTAAGAAGCTTTGAAGATCTGAGGAGTTTTGATTGGAAAGATTGGATGTGCTGGATGTTGGATGGTTTGGCAGAATACAGTTTCATTCCATATGTTCAAAGTGTTGCCACAAACTGAGTTTGATAAGGTTAGAATAAAGTTGAAGGTCAACATGGATTTTGGCCATAGAAATGTTAGTAGTTGTTCAAGTCTTCTGTTAGATGTCTCTTGTGTGGGTCTTATGTGGAAATTCCATGCCAGTCTGCAGTCTAGGTATAGTCCTAAGAATTTGACTTGAATGAAAATTGCTCTCTTTGATGTTTATGTGCAATGGAAAAAAAATGTTTTTGAACACTGAGAGCGTTTTTCTTCATTCAGTATCATCACTTTTTAAACCAATTTTCAATAAGCTCAAGGTTTTCTTATATGGTGGATGTAGCATGAATAGGATTTGAGTTAGAGACAAAAATGTGGTATCATATTTGTAGGTGGTGATAGGTACAACAGCAGTATAAATTAACTAAATGATGGGCTCAAGAATGTTCCCTTGTATCCTACAAACTGGTTGTATCTGACTGCCCAGAACTTGTTGCTGAACCTCACCTTGAAGTAGCAGATGGTTAGATAAATTATGTTTTTGCAAAATATATTGTAAAAATGGCAATACAATTTGATCATCATCTGCAAGCAGATGTAGCATTTTGTTTTGTATTTTTTAAGAATAAAATATGTACGTGTTTCTTCCAAATAATGTTATGTTATTTATGTTAAATATAGCATAAATAACCAGATTTTACTAAAAGATATTGGTAAAAAGAGGAATATGAAAAAGGAATAATGAAATCTGATCATCCTCCACAAGCCGATGTAGCATTTTGTTTTATATTTTTTAAGATTAAATATGGACATGTGTCTTCCAAATATTTTTATGTTCATTACGTTAACTGTAGCATAAATAACCAGGCTTTGCCAAAATATATTGCTAAAAATAGGAATATGAAGTAGAAGTAATGAAATCTCTTCATCCCCCACAAGCTGATATAGCAATTTATTCTGTATTTCCATAAAAAATTTTATTATTGTTTCCTATAATTAATATTAGGTTGTTTATGAAAGATATACCATAAACAACCAGGTTTAGGCAAAAAAATACTGGTAAAAATAAGAATACATTTGAAATTTGTTCATCCTCTGCAAGAAGATGTAGCCATTTGTTCTGTATTTTTTAAAATAAAACATGCATGTGCTTCTTCTAAATACTGTTATGTTATTTATGTTAAATATAGCATAAATAATTATGTTTTGCAAAATATATTGATAAAAATGGCAATACAATTGAAATTTGATCATCCTCCACAAGCAAATGTATCATTTTGTTTTGCTTGGTTCAATAATAAAATATGTACATGCTTTTTCAAGATATTGTTATGTTAATTATGTTAAATGTAGCATAAATAATCAGGTATTGTTAAAAAATATTGGGAAAAATGGGAATGTGAGATAGGAATAATGAAATCTGTTCATCCTCCCCAAGCCGATGTAACAATTTGTGTGTATTTCCATAGAAAAATTATTATTGCTGCCTATAATTAATATTATATTGTTTATGTAAAATATCCCATAAGCAACCAGGTTGTAACAAAAAATATTGGTAAAAATAAGAATACATTTGAAATTTCATCATCCTCTGCAAGCAGATGTAGCATTTTGTTGTGTATTTTTTAAGAATAAAATATGTACATGTTTCTTCCAAATATTGTTATGTTATTTATGTAATATGTAGCATAAAAAACCAGGCTTTAATCAAATAAATTGAGAAAAATGGGAATACAATTGAAATTTGTTCATCCTCTGCAGGTAGATATTGATATTTGTTTGGGATTTTTATAAATGAAATTTATATTAGCTCTTTCTAATGATTATTATGTTATTTATGTTAAATGTAGCTAAAACATTATGTTTTACCAAAATATGTTAGTAAAAATGGCAATACAATTGAAATTTGATCATCCTCGCAAGCAGATGTTACATTTTATAGTGTAAATTTTAATTATGATAAATGTAGGATAAATAAGCAGGTTTTTCCAAAAGATGTCGGTAAAAATAGGAATATGAAATAGGAATAATGAAATCTCTTCGTCCTCCGCAAGCCGATGTAGCAATTTGTTCTGTATTTCTGTAAAAAAAATAAATATTATTGTTGCTTATAATTAATATTATGCTGTTTATGTAAAATATACAATAAACAACCATGTTGTAGCAAAAAATATTGGTAAACATAAGAAAACATTTGAAATTTGATCATCCTCTGCAAGCAGTAGGAGCAATTTGTTGTGTTTTTTAAAATAAAACATGTACGTGCTTCTTCTAAATATTGCTATGTTAATTATGTTAAATGTAGCATAGATAACCAGGTTTTGCCAAAAGATATTGGTACAAATAAGAATATGAAATGGAAATAAAGAAATCTGTTCATCCTCCGCAAGCTGATGTAGCAATTTGTTCTGCATTTTTGTAAAAAATGATTATTGTTGGCTATAATTAATATTATTTGTTTATATAATATATACTATAAACAACCATGTTGCAGCAAAAAATATTGGTAAAAATAAAAATACATTTAAAATTTGTTCATCCTCTGCAAGCAGATGTATTTCATTTTATATTTTTTAAGAATAAAATATGTATGTCTTTCCTCCAAATATTGTTACATTATTTATGTTAAATGTAGCACAAATAACCAGGTTTTGCAAAAAAATATTGGTAAAAACAGGAATATGAAATAGGAGTAATGAAAACTGTTAATCCTCCACTAGCCGATGTAGCAATTTATTCTGTATTTCCACAAATAATAATATTATAGTTGCTTATAATTAATATTATGTTGTTTATGTAAAATACACAATAAACAATCATGTTGTAGCAAAAGATATTGGTAAAAACAGGAATATGAAATAGGAGTAAGGAAATCTGTTCTTCCTCCACTAGGTGATGTAGCAATTTATTCTGTATTTCCACAAATAATAATATTATTGTTGCTTATAATTAATATTATGTTGTTTATGTAAAATATACAATAAACAACCATGCTGTATCAAAAAATATTGGTAAAAATAAGAACAAATTTGAAATTTGATCATCCTCTGCAAGTAGTTGTAGCAATTTGTTCTGTATTTTTTAAAATAAGACATGCATGTGCTTCTTCTAAATATTGCTATGTTAATTATGTTAAATGTAGCATAAATAATTACGTTTTAGCAAAATATATTGATAAAAATGACAATACAATTGAAATTTGGT